ACTGGCTTGGGGGAGGGGCTTCAGGAGGTGGGTTGGCCAGGGGGCGGGGCTGCAGGAGGGGGGTCAGCTGACCCCACTCCCTTTTGGGGTAGGGTGGTGGCAATCAAGGGTGGGGCAGCTGGAAGGAAGGGCTACAGGGGGGTTAGCCAGCCACCCTCTCCCCCCTTGATCGGAATGGGAGAGCGGATCAGGGGCAGGATGGCCAGAAGGAGGGGCCATGGGAGGTTGGCCAGCCCCATCCCCTGATCAGGCCAATTTGCTGGCAGTAGTGGGCGTCATAGTAACCAGTTGTTATGGTCATTACAGAGTTCCAGTCGCTGGCTTTTTATATATATAGATGTTTTAATTTGTGGTATATATTTTATGTAAGAGCTTAATCCACCTAGTTTTTCAACTTGGGTATATCCATTAATTCTCAAATTTTAAAGCACATATTTCAATGTCACATTAGAATCATTCCATAAAGGTGGGCCCTATAGCTGGCATCTAATCCAACAAGGAAGTAGCAGTAGTCTTTCATATCTACAGAGGACTCACTAAGTGATTATATTACTATTAAATAAGAAGAATGGTGTCAAAATTCTCAGCATGTTCATCAATAGTATTTTAGTCTCAATGATTGTAATCTTTATCTCCCTGATATTTGCATGCTGGAATATCCCAGGTTTTTATTTTCAGACCTGTGTGTTTTTTCTATGCTGTATTTGAATTTTGGTCATCTTATTTGGCTTTATGGTTTTAAATACCAACTATATCCTGACAAATCCCAAGTTAATATGTACACTCCAGATGCATATCCAACTGCCTATGTATCAGTATTCAATTTGAATGTCTACTGATAGTAATCATGTTAAACTCATCATGTCCAACACTATGTACTCACATCAAGACAAAGACATGCTCAACCACAGTCTCCCAAAACTCAGAAACTTTGCCTTTGAATTTACTGAGATAGAACTCTTGGAGTCATGGCACTTCTCTCTTTTCCATTCCACGTCCAGTTTATCAAAAAATGCTGATGACTCTTTCTTCCAGATATTTCAAGTATTGATATCT